TTTATTATTTTCTCTTTTTCTGTTTGCAAGTGTCCCCTAGCCTTTAATGGTAGTTTTGATAAGTTTTACCCATGTATCCTGTCAGGAAAGGTTTCTGCCTGTGCATACAGTGGACGTTTCTTTCGATTTTAAATTGTAACTATAAGTTTTTATCTGTTCTTTACTTTGCATAGCATTTGTTGAGGTGGGAGTTTCCAGTTACCTAGAAAGTTCAGTTCATCACTTTCCTGCGCAGCGTGAGTGGACTTTAGTGTGGCCGTGGAATGTCAATTCAGGAAAAGGTTTTTTCGAAGCCGCTGCTTCAGGAGAAAAGGAGTTCAATGAAAGTTTTGTAACTCCTGAACCAGGAATCTACTTTATCGCACTTAATCTACACATAATAAACACAAGTGATTGTTGCTTAAAAGCATCTTTGGTGATAAATGACGAGTTCGAGGAAAACAATGGAATTAAAGGTGTGTGCAGTAATACTACTTCAAGAAAAACTTTAAGCCTTTCAGGTTTACTGCGCCTATATGAAAATGACGTGTTAACCCTGTACCTTCATGGGTCTAAGGGGACTTTGTTGGCTAACAGCACGTTTTCAGTTGTGCTGATTTCGCGTATAGGCTCTGTACCGGGATTTCATGCGGTTTTATCAGCAGACTTGCCGACTCAAATGATATCCAGACTTGAGAACTTTAGAACTGATGGTACGAAGGGCTTGTTTGTTATGCATAGTGGAACATCTCCCTCCGTTGGGTTGTTCTGTTCAATTCTTGAAGGAATCTATCTCTTTTCGTCCAATTTAAACGTAAAATCTGAAAACCAATTAACTGGCTGCCACCTTGCTATTGTTTTGAACTCAAACACCACTTTAGTTCAAAGGTACTCGCCTGGAGAAGTAGAGTATTCAATAAGTGTGTCTGGTATGTTTTATCTCTACCGCGGGGATTGCATTGAGCTTCTTATGAAGCCAGCAATTGGTGGATCCCTTACAGTTCAGTTGGGCAGCAGTTTCTCGGGCATTTTCCTTGGAATGAAGACAGATTTTTCTTCACAATTTTCCTTCAGTGTTTCTACCGATAAGCAAGCGGGAATGACTGTCGGATGGAATAAAGTAGAAAATTGGGCCATCAGCAACCTAAGGCGAAATTTCCAGTCACAATATATGATTTTAGAGAGAAATAGTAGTACTTTTATTTCTGAAACTGATGGAATCTTTTTAGTTTCTGCTTTGGTGAATATCAATAGCTCGTCAAATTCGATGGAGAAGAACTTGGCTACTTTGCTTGTCGATGTTGGTGACACTTCAACTGGTTTCACTGGTTATGGTAGCCTTTCCGCCTGGAAGACGACATCATTTAGTGTCAGCGGGGTTATTAGCCTTAAAAAAGGAGACACACTGACTGTTCGTATAAATAGTGATTTTCACAGCTGGGAGATAATAGATGGGCTACTTGGAGTTTACTTGATTCCCAATAACTGGCCAGGCGTTGCAGCCACGCTTACTCAAACAATGCCTCTTGATTCTAATGGATGGACAAAGCTTACATCATGGAAAACGTCCAACGTTTCTGGCTTATTCTCGTTTGACAACTCGTTTTTCCCAAACCATGGAGCATATCGTACAAATGTTGATGGCACTTACTTTTTATCCTGTAATGTCATTTTTGAGGGTAGCCCAAGGGGTAGCCTTTCAGTTATTATAGCCATTGATGACGTCATTGATACTGGTAATGGGCTCTTCTCGCTAAATGAAAATCCAAAGCGATATTCGACTCTTAATGTTGTTGGGTCGATTGTTCTCACAAATAATCAAACTATCTCAGTCTACGTCGCGGCCACTGAATTATCATCTTGGAACGTATCTAGTAAAACGGGTTTCTCTTTGGTGCTTGTTGGAGCGAATTTGCCTTCTACGCCTGGAGTTTTCGCAGGTGGGTCTTAATTATTCCTTATTACCTGATAAATGTCTCTACAAGAAGCATCCGGCTTTACATATTTCCACCTTTAGATTGACGCGTGCATTATCAACAAGAAGTGTATTTGCAGAGGTCAATTTATTGTAGATATTTGTTCTCCCGCTTACGATATTAGAATAGCCCTCAATTGTCCTTTACTTATTGGAAATAATTGATTGAAACAAATAAATGGTTTTCTTTTAGATGCTGTCAGTTGTTATCGTTGTTTTCTGCTCAAATTATACCGAGTTCTATATAAAAAGAATTTTTTGTCTGACAGAATGGCAATTAATCAATCTTTTCTCCTACGAGTCGTTTCGCTGACGTCCTCCTTTCTAACGTCCTAGGTCTTCTTGTCAAAATTTTCTACCTGTTATATATCAATTATACCATGTTCTTTAAATGTTCGGTTATGTTTCGTTCTTATAAGCGTGTAGATAAGTAGCAGTCTGTCAATTCCTTAGATAACGTCGACGAACTGGAGGTAAGCGAAAGGAGTGACACTAATTAAAACACGATGCTGTGAACCAAATGAATTAGTTATGCTTAGCAGGGTGTGGGAATTTTTAGTGAGGCCTGTTAGCAGGTCTGGTCTTTAAAAAGGGACAATGGGGTCACTGTTAAATAATGTCTGTATACTAAAAGCCTAATTTCTGGTATATTTATTCTCTAGTTAAAGAGGAAGAAGCCAACCCAAGTTCATCCTGTGGAGAGATTGATAAGTGGAGAACAGTTCCGCCAACACTAGGCTCTTTCTATAAGAAAAGTTCACAGTTTAACTCAACATCTGGAAGGTTTAAGGCAAGGGAGGATGGTTTTTATCTTATCAGTGCTAATGTCTTGATCTATCATTCAAATTTATCTCAAATACGTTTGAACGTATTACGTGATGGACAAAACGACGACACCTCTCTGAGCACCTTTCAGCCAAGACATTCATCTTCACCAGGAAGCTTTTTTGTTAGTACTTTGACGCTTGCAGGCACAATTCGACTTACCTCTGAGCAGTATGTCTCTTTATTTTTAGACGTGCAGTGCGCAAGTGGTTCTTCCTGGAAAGTGTTGAGTAACAGCAGCTTCTCCGTTGTTTTGGTTTCTCTTGGGGATGATGATTATGCCGCGGGATTTTTGGCAAAAACATCCCTCATCTCAAACGGTGGCAGTTCGTACACTAAAGTTTATTACTGGAGTGCCGAGTTCTTTAAGAATCTTAACGTCCCATTTGTTCAATCTGTTTATATAGAAAAAAGCGGTTTGTATTTTGTACAGAGCGTTATGATCTTAAATGACTTTAACGGCAACGGTGTCTTTCACAGTGGAATTTGTGCTTCAATGAACCAAATTCTATTTAATGGTTTTGCCGCGTCCAAAGTAAGTGAGGGACTTCAAGGCAGTTTTGTCATAAGCGCATTTGGAGTTCTTTTTCTGCAGAAAGGGCAAAAAATTGATCTTTGCACGAGATCTGAAAAAGAATCTGAAAATTATCAACATCTACGAGATTCCTTTTTTTCGATGGCAAGATTTCAGGAACCCGTTCAGCTGCCAGGTCTTCATCAAACATTTCAAAATGCCTACAATGTATCTTCACCTCATGAGCGATCATTTGCAACATCTTTTTCAACTGCTGGAAACCAACTCGCCTACATCAATGATATGTTCAATCCAAATCCGAAATCATCTAGAGAAAAGGGAGACTTCATGACAACCTTAAATGGTACATACTTTTTCTCACTCTCATTCACATTGACAGGGAACGTCTCGGCAAACATTACTGCCTGTGTTGGGCCACAAAAGTGTGCAAAGTGTTACATTGAAGTCGTTGGCACCTTAAACTATCTAACCAGCACTTTTGGATTTGTGGGGCTGTTGGACCTCGAGGAGAACGAGCTACTCTCAATATGTCTATACTCTCAAGAAACAAGTTTCTCTCTCGTGTCCGCTACTCTTTCGGTTCAATATTTGTATGAGCTGGGGCGTATTGAAATTGTTCAACTTAAGCATCCATCCATTAGTTTTCATTTACCTAGATGGCATAGGCTAATAGGGTGGAGGAATTCTAGTGGTGAAGCAATTCAAAGCATTTACGTGAAATACAGTGGACTTTACTTTCTGTCTTTAAACTTATTGCTAAGATTACCTTCTAAAGGTCTTGTTGGAGTACGATTACAAGCAAAAGAAGCGGTACACCAAGAGATTTTGTCGATTGTATCTAGTGCTGAAGCAGATAATAGTTTTTCATTCAACGTTGCTGTTCTTAGTCGTTTAAACGCCTCGCAAGCGATGAGTATTTCTGTTTTCTTTGATTCAAACTCACTGCACATTGGTAATAATTCCGCTTTCTCTGCTGCACTCATCACAAATAGTAATAAGCATCCTTGTATGTCACTGAAATCCAAAACAAGCCAGTACTTCGCTGATCAATGGTGGCAGGCTATCGAACCATGGGAAGATGTTGATGCACAGTGCCTGTCCCTAGGATCGGAATTCACTAAAGGGTTGTTTGTTACTCATGTTACTGGTGTGTATTTCGTTGCTGCTGTAGTAATGATCAGAGCGTCTGGCACACTAAACCAAACAAGGTAAGCGTTTTAGAACTTGAGCTTTTTATTCTCTTTTGTGATTGAAATTTATATAACCAGTCAATTTTTTTGTACCTGTGATTGATACATGTAGTATGAAAATTTCGTATCGAAGTATACTCATATGAGTGTAAAAGAATAGGACAGGTTCACAGTAATTTATTCAGTTATCTCAAATACAGGAAAAACGCTTCGTGCTCCGAAAATATGCTCAGCCCGATCACTACGCATGCACCAGACTACTGCGTAAGCTTAGCTCATGTAACATCTCCACCCTGAAAAGGACCTAAACAGAAATCTAACTTTCCAACAAGAACTAACAGTCATTAAAACGGGAATGATAAAAATAATTAATAATGATGAAAAGAGAAAGTTTATAAGTGTCGCTATAAGTGTTCCTTTATAAGTGTTCGAACGGCAAAAGGGGCATATAAGTCTAGTCTATATGGTTTCTTTACAATGCGGCCACTCCTCGTTGTCACGGCAGGTTATCATTGCTTTGGTTGGAAGGTACCAGCGACTGGGCAGGCGCTTGGGGTAGTTCTGATGATGGTATCGGAGAAGGTGGGGGCTTTGTCTCATGTCTGTCTGGCAGTGTACTCTCTTGGTTGCTAACAACTTCACAGGTTATTGGTGTTTTCTGTAGAGGCTTCAGCTGTACTCTGTTGCGTCTTACCTCAGACCCGCCAGTTTTCTTGACTATGTAGGACCTTGGTATACCGGTCTCTTCCTTCACCTCGGCTGAAATCCATGTCTTGATTTGTGGCTGGAACATGACTACGTGCTCGCCTTAATTTAATAATAATAATAATAATAACAACATTTTATATAGCACCTGTACTTTTCAGTGCTAAGCGCTTTACAATGCTTTAAAAAGGTCCGGATAAAAAATAAACATTTACATATGATCCTTACATAGTCACAAAAATCAGCAAGATAAAAACCTAGGATAGTCCGTAAACTCGCTTAAAAAGAAAAGTCTTCAATTTAGATTTAAATCTATTCACATCATCGATCGATCTAATATCAATAGGCAAATCGTTCCAGGATATAGGGGCAATGACTCAAAAAGCCCTTAAAACCGTATGTCTTTTTCGTCTGAAGATGAACGAAGGCACCTGGCAGGTTCATAAACATGGAGTAGGTCTACCAAATAACCAGGAGCTAAATTGTTGAGTATCTTAAACATATAAGATTAATCTTAAAGATTATTCGTTGCTCCACTGGTAGTCAGTGCGGCTCCTTTAGAGTGTCGCTAATATGATCAAACTTACGTAAGCAAGCAATCACACGCGCTGCAGCGTTTTGGACACTTTGCAGCTTGTTAATCCCATACTTGAGAAGACCATATAAAAGCGAGTTGCAGAAATCCAGCTTAGAATTTATGAATGCATGCACAAGAACTTCAGCCGTTGTAACATTGATATACTTACGAATCTTAGCTATATTTCTAAGGTGGTAGAATGCCTCTTTAGCTATTTTGTTGATAGGAAAAGACATCGTTACGATGTTAACGAAAATGACGCCAACGTTACGCGCCTTATTTGTAGGCTTGACGATAAGTTCCTGTTCTAATAGAAGGAAGCCGCGGGGGCAGTCTGAACCTAGAATAGAGAATGAGGAGTTCCGTTTTGTCAGTATTTAGTTTCAGCTTGTTAGTAGTCATTCAGTTAGTGATATCGATAAGACAGCTTTCAATCCGGGAAATAAGAGATACCGTATTTATTCGATTAACCGCCCTGGGCGCTTATTAACCTTATGGACCTTGAGAGTGGGCGCTTATTAAATTTTTACCATTTTCAGCAAGTGTAGTATGTTAATTTTGCAACCATACAATAAACGCGAAGACGTAACAAAGCAAGGTTTCTGTAAAATACCCTGAAGAAAACTCCGTCTTCGGGCAAGTCTCTTATTAGTACTTATTTAAGGGTTTTTTGGTGGAAGGGACCAAAAAGGGGATAGCCGCTTATTTGAGTTTGAGTTTGAGGGGGAGGGAGGTGGGGTGGGGGTGGGCGCTTATTCAAGGATGGGCGCTTATCAAATTTTTTTGCCTTCAGGATGGGTGCTTATTCGAATAAATACGGTATAACAACGGACCTAACACGGACCCCTGGGGTATACCAAATCTTAGGGGACGAACTGAAGAAGTAAATCCATCAATCTGAACTGACTGGGAACGATCCGTGAGATAAGACTGAATCCACGTAAGCGCTTTTTCTTTTGTACCAAATCTGGATCGCAGTCTGTGTAACAAGATCTTATGATTGGTGTCGAAGGCTGCTGATAGGTCCAGCAGCAAGAGAACGACGCATTGTTTATTATCGATTGATTTCAGCGTATCATTTTGAACACGTAGAAGCGCTGTCTCACAACTGTGGTGTTTTTTATAAGCATACTGGAGGCTTTCATTCAGATCAATATCACACAAATAATCCGTCAGACGCATGGCTGCATCTTTTTCAATAACCTTAAACAAAAACTTCAGGTTAGATACAGTTCGAAAGTTAGAAAAAATTTTAAAGTCTAGGGACGGTTTTTTCAGCAGAGGGGACAACACTGCATTCTTCATGGAACTTGGCATTGAAGTTGAATTGAATGAGAGGTTTGCGACTCTTTTAATAATAGGTAGTAAATCATCGATACAATAACGTAAAAGAGAAGCAGGGACAGGATCAATAGAACACGATTTGGCTGCAATTTGTTTCAAGATACCAGAAAGTCCATCCTCTGAGGTGGGAGAAATTTCGCTCAATTCACAAGTAATTATAGCATCATCAATCAGTGCAAAAACTTAGTAACTTAAACTTAAATTTAGTCTTCGAAGTTCATGTGTCGATTGGCGGTCGTACTGGTGTCTCTGGGTGTCCTGTCGATTTTGTAGTTGCTCACTGTGGCTATCAAAGGCTTGTGAACGTTGGAGGTGGCCGCTGCTCGGCAGTTGTGTGCGATAAGCTCTGCGGTTCAGCAGCTGAGAAGGTGACGGTAAGTTGCTGTCTACAGGTGTGGTCCGGTATGTCAGCAGTGCTAAGCATGGATCTTGCCCCGAGGCTTCTGCTTTTCGCAGAAGGTCCTTCACTGTCTGGACTGACCGCTCTACGAAGCCGTTGCTTTGTGGGTACAGTGGTGAGCTCGTCACATGGTCAGTGCCCCAGTGCTTGCAAAAAGCTGCAAAATCTTGACTACTGTACTAGGGGCCATTGACAGATATTAAGGTTTCTGGTATCCCATTTTCTTTGATGGTTAATGACAGCAGCAGATGTAGTCGAATTTTTTTTTTTTTTTTTAAGTTAATAGTCGTTTATTTACAAAACATGTTACATTTACAAAATTTTAAAACTAAAAAAAAGTATATGACGATATTTCAGATTGGATCAAAATTACATAAAGACGAGAAAGAATAATGCAGCACTTGTAATAATTCACACAATAACGTAAGACCTGTTAATTAACAGATTATTCCGGTAAGTTGGATTCTTACTAACTAATTGAAGGAGGGGGTTTTTCGAAATCGTACCTCCAACTGATTTTAGCCTTAAATTCATCCAAAGATAAATCTTTAGGAGCTACAGTGGAACCCCCCCATACGACCACCCCGTTATTGTGACCACTTTTTTGTGGCCCGAACAAAAGCCCACTCATTTTCTTATCTGAAAACCCCATTAATCCGATCACCCCGTTATTGGGACCAACGACCACCTTTGGGAGTCCTGAGTCGTTATTTTCTGTATAAAATTACCCCGTTAATACGACCAGTCAAAATGCTTGGTTGGGCTGCTGAATGAAAACAGACTGAATCTGACAAACAATAACCCATTACTAATATTTTACAACCTCGTTCCCAGGGCTTCTCCCCACCCATTTTTTAAGGGAAAAGCGCTGGGGACGAGGTTAAATATTTTATTGAATGTTTTTAGGCAAAGGTGTTAGTGGTTAGCATGACATCCGGTAGATTGCTGTGTGCAGTAAAAAGGATGCATGAATAAATAATACAAAAGATCTGAAAGACTTCACTTACTTTCGAGGCTCTCAGAGTTATTTTGCCTTCTTGTTTCTGCTGCCTTCCACTGTGGCTTTTCTCTTCAAGTTCATTTCCTTTTCTTTTCTCCCAGAACTTTGAACTTTGTAATAATTGTGAAAGTGTTGTAAGCTACAATATAGAAAACGGCTCTTCGAGACAAATCACAAGCCCTTTCCTTTCATAACAAGGAACTGAAAGAACTCAGTGTTTTTTCTCATTACTCGGTTTCGTTTACTGTTACATTGTTCAGTTGCATTGAATTGCGGTTGTAAGGTTGTTAATTAACTGCAAAAAGGTTGATTTATAACGGATTAAAGGTATACATGGAGTAGAATGTAGTTTAAAAGCATTTTGCACCATAATTTGACCCTGCCCCGTTAATACGATCACCCCGTTAAATACGACCAAATTTCCAAGACAAGACAAGACAAGACAATTTTTTATTTGGAGTCTTATACAGTCCTATGTATATCGACTTTATCCAAATACTTTAAAATCATAACACAAATTGCACACTAGTGGAACTATAATCAATGTTAACCTAAATAACTAATGATCTTCTTTTCTCATAGCAGTCGAATACGTATTTTGCAATGAACTTTTGCACTGGTTTGTTCTTGCTCGGAGCGTTTATTAACAACAGAAATCCATGTCCCGAATGTGGTCGTATTAACCGGGTTCCACTGTAACTTATTTATGTACAAGTAATATTTAGCAAACAAAAGAGTAAAATCGAGCTTTTTGACAATTGCCGATGAGCTTTGATTCTTTCTATCATTATTAAGACCAAAGATTAATTCACTTGAGGATGGCGCAAAGGAGGCGGCATTTTCGACGTTGAACCGTTTGATTGCTTCTGCAAAAAACCACTTGGTCCAGTGGCAGTCACCAAAAGTATGGATTATTGAATCATTTTGTCTGCAGTAAGGACAAAGCGCATTTTCTGCAATACCATACGTAAACAGTTCTCTTTTTGTGACGACAATTCTGCGTAAGAGTTTAAAGTTTGTTATCTCTGCAAATATTTTTCACACGGGAGAAATAATGCCTTGCAAGTATTATTTCTGGTAGGAGGTCTCTTTCCCATTTCATGTTAGCGTTTATTACTAATCAAAAGCCAGTAGTATTTTCTATTTTTCATTTTAAGTAAATCTAATGAAGGGTCCGCTGAGAGCTGGAAGGAGCTTTCGGACAAAATACTAGTTTTATCAATGTGGTATCTCCGCGCGTCATCGATCAGATCCTTAGGAATCGCAGAAACAACTTGCATGTATTGTAAGAAATTACCGTTCGGTCGAAATGTCCTAAAAAAATTCCGAGTAAGAAAATATCTTACTATCATCTCCTAAGAGATCTTGAACAAGAAAGACATTTTTAATCAACCAAATTGTTTGTTGAATGACACAAACTGGCAAAATTGCGTATTATAAGAAATTTTAAGTTCTATGAAATGTAGTAATATCAACTTATAGAAGTAAGGGAGACACATCCTATCAAGAAAATTCTTATCATAATTACAACGTAGCAGGAAGTTCAAGCCACCGTATTTATCGAGAAAGTGGTTGGGAATGACCTTCCATGATTCGCCGTCATGCGTAAGTATACTTTGTAAGAACCTCGATATCCATGCCAGTTTAAGTGATTTGGCCATAGTCTCTATGCTTGGAGCACGTAGACCACCTTTGTTATAGTCTTGGACCATAATTTTGCGTTTGATTTTGTCTCTTCGATTTTTCCAGATAAATTTAAAGATGCTTGAATTAACAGCTTGAACCAATTGTGTTGGGAAATCGAGTGTTGAAAGTGGGTGAACTAGCTGTAAGATGCCAAGAGATTTCGTTATAAGACACCTACCTAAAAGAGTGAGGTTCCTAGAGTTCCATATGCCAAGAATGATGTCAAGTTTTTGCATTTTTCCTATAAAATTAAATTCCTCGTTTTGTTTCTCATCGTATGAAATATAGTTTCCAAGGACTCGAAGCGCTTCTTTGGGCCACTTAAAGTTAAAGGGTTCGTCCTTGCGGTTTCTTAATGCCCCTAACCAAAGCGCTTGTTGCTAGATGTGACGCACTTCCAGAAGGTGCGTTACACGGTGTCAGCTTTAATGCAATAAGGCGCGCCGAAGTATTAAGATTGAAGAAGAGTATTATTCAAAATTGAAAAGAATTGCTTCTGTGCAAAGAAAGAAATCGGCAGAAAAACAAACCAGAGGATTAGGGCCTTGAGTGTGGTTTCACGGAGTGCTCAATTCTTTCCCAGTAGTTGTCAAGCTGTTTTTGGTCGTCTGCAGACAGATCCCAGCTATTAAACACTTCGATACCCTGCTCTCCAGACCAGTATAATAAATGTTTACATTTGATTTCCTCGTCAATCTTAGCCATCGGCCCGGTGAATAGCAATTCGCGTCTTTGTTTCCACATTTTAAACCGGCTATGTAGGTTTTCGTCCGTGCATCAGTCAATTGAGGGACCTTTGTCGATGAAAGATGCACTCGCCATGTTGCTTGTTTCAATCGCTCGCTGAAGCTTTTCAGACTTACACCACTCTTCTGAGTTAAACTGTTGGCCACACGAACGGTGAGAAGCCTTTCTTTTCCAATCCCACTTCTGACACCATGTAAAAGGATAGGACAGTTTCACAGTAATTTATTAAGTTATCTCAGATACAGGAAAAACGCCTCGTGCTCCGAACACTTTCTCAGCCGGATCACTACGCATGCGCGAGACTATTGCGTAAGCTTAGCTCATGTAACAATGAGTTTTTGAGTGTAAGTGTTGTAATAATCTCGTTATAGTACCATATTGTACGCTGAAGGCTTTTTTATTTTGTTCGTTTCCATCGCTTTCGCCTTAGAGTCGTTATTTTCAAGTCCTAAACAAGAAATCAGTGCCTTTGTTGTTTTCTTCTTTAATCCTTAAAATTGTCAATAACGGTTTGGTTATTATTCTGCAAATATCTGTTGGGCTTCCCCTCTTTATGCCTATCAAAAGTATCTGATTTTGTGCTTACGTTTCAGAATGGTTCAACTTTTGGTATCGGTAAATGGAGAAACGTCAAACACAAATGGATTAAAGGCAACCAAGGCTGCTACACCAGGCTCAACCGTTGCCCTCAGTTTATCAGCGACTGTTTACCTGGAAGTTTGGCAAACTTTGTATCTGATGATAAGAAGCACTAGTGATGGTACATTTGAAGTACTCAATGGGAGCACGTTTAGTGTGGCGCTCATAGGTACATAGAAATGATATTTTAACAGCCTTCGTATCCTTACAAAGAAAACCCCATCGATTATATGTAGATTAAAATAACTGTTTCCAGTATTTTTTTTAACGGCTGTATGAACTGGATGTTGTGAGAGAGCTAAGATTCGCATTCACAGCAAATAACAGTATGGCCTGATTCTCGTTTGGCTTGTACGTTTCTAAGATTTTTGTATTTATAGTTATATTTGGAATTAATAAATTAAGTATTCCAAAAACCACATACAAGAACGCAATACTTGGTTAGGGTAATCTGATACAGTTCAAATACACCATAGACATCTTCCAGATGAAGACTTTTTATTAAAGCCTCGCTTTTCGCTTTGCTTGTTCTGCGACTAGAATAACCAGCCAAAGAACCCTTTAAAAAGCTTCTCCATTGATTTGTTCTAGAGGAGACAAAGTATTACAAATCAGTGGCTCAGAATATTTCACAGTTTTACAATGGTCCGCGTATTATACGCCATCCACCACCGTCAGTCAGCCTCGGCGAGGATTTGGGACAGAATATATCATGGACTTGTGAAGCAGTTGCTAAAGGTGCTGTGACATATCAGTGGTTAAGGAACGATCAGGTAAAGTGTGTTGATGAGACTTTATCGATGAGGAACTTTTACCTTAAATCGTAAACCAAAGGACGAGTTTTAATTTATAAATTCTTGCTTTTTTCCAAATTCAGACTATAACATCTTCAAATAATCTACTACTGACAAATGTGCAAGACTCCGACTCTGGTCGATACGTCTGTGTAGCAGAATATGACGGAGTCAAAGTGTTCTCACAGGCTGCTAATCTTGACGTATTTGGTAAATACCACCCTATGACAATACTATCTATAGGGCCTTGGCTTTCTCAGTAGCAGCGTATCCATCGCATGCCGAGCGATGTCTCGAAGTGATCTTTAATATTATCATCTATTATCCAAAAAAATTATTTTTATTTAAAAATGCCGTAAAGCGCTGGGAGTTTCAACCATCGCAATTCCTACGTAGCCGTTAAATCATGAATTAAAGTAGCGTTATGAAAAAATTTCAGTATATAATTTTTGGGTTGGATTTGAATTTTATTTAACCTGTAATTTTGGATTTGATATTAAAGTGCCCTCTAGTTAACTCAGATTTTCAAGAGGTCGGTGTTGTCCGATACGGATATGTCACATACGTTAACGTCACAATTATTATTTTGTTTTTATTGTTTTGAGTGGACTTTTCAGTTGGTAAAACTTCCAAGTACGATATTCGCTAACACCCGACAAGATTACATACCACATTGATTTATAATACTTGCATACAACCTCTGTTGGCTTCTGGGAATAGTAACTGTACTGTGTTGTGACGCCTTTTGTAGATACTAGTCCTCAGTTTGAGAATCAAGTGCTTACTGCTCCAGAGAATAGTAATGTCTCCATTGAGCTGAACGTCAGTGCTTTGAACAAACGACGAAGGCCTGCCGATGTTTCCATCATGATTGTGAAAGGTTTTATAAAACAAATGTATCCCATAAACTTTGTTTTGAATGTGTTTTTTATTAATTACTTGGAGCAAAATAAATCAACCTCTTTCCTTGTTTTCTTTACAGGAAACACCAATGGTACGTTTGTCCTTTCCGAGACATCAAAATTAAACATTTCTTTGCGAAATCAACTTCCTCTTGATTACGAGAGTACGAAACTGTATCGACTGACCCTCGTTGCAACAAATAAGGAGACCAACAAAACAAGCTCAGCTAACGTGACCATTATTATTACTGATATCAACGACAATCCACCGATATTCTCGAGCAGGTAAGATACGGAGATATGTCCAGAAATGCACGCAACAACGAAAATGGGAAATTTGGAGAAAATTCGCCAAATGTTTGGCGAAAATTCAAAGATGTTCAAAGAGCCCCTTTAAAAAGTGGCGATTTGGACGAAAATGGTGTTTTGGGTAAATGTCGCCACATTTTCAACAAAAGTTCTAATGACATTTCCAAAGGGGCCCCTTGGAAAGTGACGATTTTCACGAAAATGGCGAATATGGTGAAAATGGGCATTTCACGAAAAATCGCCAAAAGTTTACGAAAATTCGTTGAACGGAAGTTCTGATTACAAGTCCATCGGGGCACCACGAAAGTGGCGATTTTGACAAAAAAGGGGAACATGGCGAAAATGGCGATTTGACGAAAAATGGCCAAAAGTTTAACGAAAATTCTAATTAGATGTCCGACGGGGCTCCATGAAAAGTGGCGATTTTGACGAAAACAGGGAACACGGGGAAAATGGCCAATTGTTGAAAAATCGCCAATGGCTTAACAGAAATTCTAATAACATGTCCAGCGGGGCCCCGTGGAAAATGGCGATTTTGACGAAAATGGAGAATATGGTGAAAACGGCGATTTGGCGAAAAATCGCTAAAGGTTTAACGAAAATTCCTGAAAAGTGGCCATTTTGGTGAAAATGGCGCATACGGTTAAAATGATGATTTAGCAAAAAATCGCCAAGGTTAAACAAATTTTATGAGGTATTCAAAGGGGCCCCTGAAAAAATCAAAACGAGTTATCAAAGTTTAGTAACAGTTCAAAATGGAAGATTTGCCAACATTTAGAAGACAATTTGAATTTCTTGGCAAAAAGGTCCATTAGAAGATTAGTCTAAGTCTTAGCAAAAATGGGCAGCGAAATAGCGTAAATTTTTGTCCCGGAATCGAAAATTTCAAACCCAAAAAAATCCTTTGATCCGTCACATGAGATCCGAAGAACCCCAACGCCCCCACCCCTTCCCTGGAAGCTGGATGTAATAAAAGGTAAAGGCACAAACGGCCGGACCTTATCCCGGTTTCTTTAGCATGAAGCATGCCTAGGAGTATTGCTACTCCCGCCTGGATGGGATGCTAGTGCATGCAGGGTAACCCCCCAGCAGTATGTCGCCAGTACCCATTTATACACCAGGGTGAAGAGAGACAAAGTGGAGTAAGGTTCCTTGTCTAAGGAAACAACGCGACAGGCGAGGCTTGAAGCACGTACCTCAAGATCCGGAGTGCGAGGTGTTAACCGCTCGGCAACAAACGCCTCACAAATTTCGTACCCCAAAAAATCTCGAAATCGAAATTTCAAACCCAAAAAAATCTCTCCATCATCCCCGTCACTTGAAATCCTAAGTACCCCCTCCCCCTAGGAACTTGATGTAATAATAAATAAGGTTTTCGCGACTGAGAAAAACAATATGTGTCATTTGATATTCCAGTAGCAGATACTTACCATGAGTCAAGCGTTCATGACCTGAAAAGTTGATAATTATACTTTTATATACTTTGTGGGGCAATATTGTTGTTTAACTTTAGATGTTAACGGTAAATGGCTTTGATAAAGGATGAGATTTTGAAGATTTTCTGGACCTCATATTACCACAATGGAATATATGATTTAAAAACAAAACATACATGCACATGCATGGTTGTTGAAAAGATACAAAACGAGTCGGACATTTACAAGATTTTGTGGGGTAGTATTTTCAAGGTTGTTATGGTCAGGGAAAAGTTAGGGGAAAACAAATAATTTTCAAGGTGGGGCAAAAGTCAGGGAAAATTTTTGATATTGTGTCAGTTAGGAATAACTTAGCGAATTCTGTTTACGTTGCACTCAAAATCCTGGAAATTGAAAAGGTTGGAAAATGAAGACAGGAATATTGATGGTCTGCAAAAAACCTTGAGGCAAATGTAAGCATGGATTGTTTGTTAACATTAATCAGCTAATGCAAGGTCAGTCAGTGAAAATTGTTTGCTGCTCAGTGAAAAGTGAGGGATAAGTCACAGATTTTTTTACTTTCTGATTAATGGCAAACCTGTTTTGGGGTAAATGGGATTTAGGGATAAATCTTTAAGATTTCTGGCCCCACTTCATATAGCCATAAAGGGACACATGTTTTCAATGGGTGACATTGAAAAAAGGACATTAAATTTCGCGATTCAAGCGTTCTCAACTTCTTTTTATCTTTCTAAAAGTCTGAACTTTTGAAAATTCTTGATCAAGTAGAACAAACAAAACGCATATTTGAAAAAACTTTTTAGGTGTCTTAACGATATTTCGCAATAGAAAATACAAGATAAGTCTTATGTATTTGCCGATACATAGCCTGTATATGTTGTTCTTATTTCATGTTAATAATTTTTTAATTATATATT